TGAAAGTACAAATAAGCAACAACAAGTAACAATAAAATATAAAATAACACAAGTTTAGTAATCGTATATGTGACCCTCCTTTTCAGCACCCAAAGTCCAGAGAGCCGATGGTGAACTACACACTAGACGCGCCTGCTAAAGGGTATGCTGCCCTGGACCCCAACCATACCCACCACTTCCTTGTTGACGATGGTATTTTATAAGCTTATACAATTAATGATATTATGTGTGTTATTTTTTGCAGCCTCTGCTGAATTAGCTTAGGAGCAAATATGAATTAAAGCGAGAATGTAGCCTAGTTATGTTTTCTTAAGATTAATGGTGATCATGATGACATGAAAACGACGTTTCTCGAGGCAACCCGCTTGTGACATAGTTCCGACTTTTTACGGCCATCCACCAGGGATAAATGTAATATATTTATAGTGTTGTAATTAGTTTAATTGTTATAAGTTATGTTGTCTAGATTGTTGTCTCATCTTGTAAGAATTCGTAAGAAAGCGATAAAACAGAATTACAATAAACTACAGGAGGTGGTTACTAATACTGCACGATCTTTAAGTAGTCTGATTAGTTTTTATTCTATGGAAATACTATAATTTTAAGTAGCTGAATCTACTGAACATTATAATATTACCCCGTTTATAGCATTTAATTTCTGATACCGACTAAACTTTGTGGTCCGAGGCAGTAAAGAAAGAAGGATTATATTAAATCGCAGAGAAATAGGAAATAGTTAAAGTACTTAACTCATATGTATTTCTTTTATTCAGGCTACTTATCAGATCTTTAAGATGTCCATTTATGTTTTATTTTTGATTTGAATAATTTTATATAATAATAACAACCCAACCCCAATCCAGGTACTGCCGAGAAGGAAGGAATTGAAATAGACTTCCGAGGAGAGTTAGAGTCTCTGATTTGTAACATGTTTACAAAAGATGCAGTCTCGTTACCCATGGTTACTATTATGATAGAGGGTGGAATGCAAAGTCTCGATCAAGCAGTCAGCACGCTACGAAAAGGTGAGAATAGATTTATGGAAAAGTTTTGGCGTTACCAATTTTTATTTTAAAATAATATAAAACTATTCAGTTATATGTATTGCCACAGTTCGAATCTGCAAATGAAATAATCATGGAAGCTGCGTTAAAGATGTAACAACCATTCAACAAATTATTAATTTTATCAGCAAATTAACTATTAAATTTACTCCATTAACATTACTGCCTCAAATCCAGGTAAAACGTTAGTTGTACTGAAAGGCAGTGGCCGAGCTAGTGACATTCTCTGCTATGGATTCGAACACAGTATTGAAGTTGAGCGAGAAAATGAAGACGGGTACGTTATAAATCTTGATCTATACAGTGAGATTTAATAATGAATTTAATAATCAAAGTAGTGCATCCACAAATTTAAGTATATTCGAGCTTTTCATTTATAATTAAAATAAGTCCTTCATATTTTGGAGCCACGGTGTGGACTGGTTGAAGCACTTCCATCTCACCACATAATAATACTCAATAAATAAAGTATATTTGTATTTTTATAAGTAGTTTTATCAATATTTCAGTGAGATGATACAAGAGCGTGTGTTAACAGAGTCATGCAAACAAGAAATGATAAAACTGATTGATAAAGATTTCGCAAAATACAGAGCTCAAGGAATTGTGGAGAAGATGATAAATGCTGTAATGGAGATATCTTCTTATCGTAAAACTGTAAGTACCGGACAATCGATTACAAGTTCTATAAGAGTAACTGCATCATGTTCCCTATTTCTCTATTTGATCTGCAATGCGAATAATGTCCTGGAAATGCTTCACATCGTTTGAAACCTTAACATTGTTTATAAACAATAAATATGATCATAAAAAGCTGTCATCAATAATTCACCAACAATTAAGACAACCAAGCTACATGAAATGAAGGCTTTCTTCCCATACCACTTCTAAATGAAAACTATAAGTTAACAATCTCTTTTACCCTCTGAACAGTGAACAGGTGACAGTATTTAATAACAATCTCGTTTACCCTCTGAACAGGTGACAGTATTCAGTATCTACAACCCTGAACCTCTGGACTTCTACATCCTCTCCTCACTGATGCAGAGCTCAGCGGGAGGGGCCACCAGGATGAGACAGATGAGACTTGCTATCACGTGGGGTCACGCAAGGGTCGCTAGAGAGTTCATCTTCGCGAGGAAGGAGTACAAGTTCTCGGTGAGTTTTTGTCTTTATTTCTAGCGGAGAACAAGTTCTCGGTGAGTTTCTGTCTTTATTTTTAGCGGAGAACAAGTTTTCTTTGAGTTCACAATAATTCACAGTGCTGGTTCCCTTCTTGACAACGATTGATGATGAAGACTTCTCAAGGCACAACTTTAGAAGGATGAGTTTTAAGCGTTAAGTTTTAACTTGTTAAGGTTTTTGATAAATTAAATAAGTATCTTAGGTATTATAGGACTGTAACAATAATATAACTACAAATCATTACTCCTACAGACAGAAGAGTTGAACAGTCTCCTTCTTTTCTCGATCATCAAACAGCGCACTGAGTTTGTTAAACTGCTCATAGACTACGGAGCTAATGTCAGAGAGGTAAGTATCTGATAAAACTATGACTTTTTAAACATAAAAAGGTTTCATCAATTAGCTCTTCGAGTCATTATGTAATTTTAAATTGAAAGTAAACTTAAGCGATAAGCACCTTACCTCAGCAATCATAAATCAATCAAATACTGAATATATATATATATTGAGTGCTTATTATTGAAGAGATGTTCACTGTTACATTTCCAGTTTGTTACCCAAGCACATCTTACTCGACTGTACAATGAGTTGAGGACCAGTACTGGTGGTTACAGACTCTTGCAAGAAAAGAGAAAGAAAGAAAAGCTCGACAGAGGGGTAAGATTTACTCAATGTTGTTGGCACGTTCTTGTTATTGTTGGTACTCTGTTTGAATCACCATGTTTGTGCATTTGAGCATCGTTTCATTTCAATTGTATGTATTTCTTCTCTTTCAGAGTACGAGAACAATCCTACTTAATCAAAATATTTACAGCATGATTGTTAGAGTGGTACTTCTATATTTGTATTTGTCTTTATTTCTAGTGGTTCTATATTTGTATTTGTCTTTATTTCTAGCGGTTCAGAATGTCCGTAAGAAGCAAAACAACTCGAGGCGTAAGTCACATCTCAATTAGATGACCCCTGCTACCTAGTAGTACTAATCCGCTATGCTTTCTACCAAAAATGATCGCTTCTTAAAAAGCTTCACTTGATCTAAATTGGCACTAGGCTTGGAAAATACCAGATATTTTCTAAATGACAAAACGCTCACCCACTGTTCTAATGATACGAAAACTGAAAAGCTACTCTACATAGTTAACTTCTGGTAGATAACCGGTTGAAATATACCACCATATCATGACATGAACCGCAATAATATGATGCTTCTGAAACTGTCAAATAATGTCTGATTAATCGAGATATGGTTACGTATCTCTTTTTTCGTTATCTGCAATGTATCGCTATTCTTCTGATCTACATATTTGTGCTTGCAATGTGTTGGAAATTGAGTTATCCTTTTAATATAAACTGCATTTTTAAATAAAAGGAAGTATTTAAGCAAAAGGAAGTATTTAATAGTTCTCTCTCTCTATAGTTAATAGTTAATGAGCATAGTACTTCATAGTTTAATGCAACAATTGTCCCAGTAACAGTGTGTTAAGGGGAATATCTCGATTGGTTGAGAGAAATGTGAATTGATTAAGATCGTGCTAAAAGCTCTAACAATCAAATATGTTTCAGATTAAGCTACTTTTATAAATCAATAAAAGAATAAAGCATCCTAATGACTATCTGTAGCTGAGACAGTGAGACGGTGAGGAATATAGCTTCCACGCTCAATTTGTAAACATTTAAATAATATTTCAGGTTGTACTGTCAGATGTGGGATCCATAATAAATCAGATCATGCAGGGATCCTTCAGAAGCATACTTTGTGACCCTAAATACAACGAGCGGGCCCAGGGCAACGAGACATTTGAGGTTGGTAGAAACGTCACATAATTTGAATTATAAGTCTGCTTTACAGCTTCACACGTGATCTTTTATTAAAGACAAATTCTAATTAAAAACTTTCAGAATCCTTTTGATGTCATGACGATATACTCCTGTTTGGCTGATTGCCAGTCTATGGCATTGTTATTTTGGGAGAGTGCCAAGACACCCATGGCAACAGGACTTGTGTCACACAAGATCTACATGTTCCTGGATAAGATGGAGAGCAAGTGGGCGAGAATGGACGAGGAGATGACTGAGAAATTGGAAAATGCTGCTCAGTAAGTTTTATATTTTGGTTTGTCTTTGCATGAAATCAATGATATATAATTTTCGTATAAACGGATTTAAACACATGTGACTCCTTATAATAGATTTGTAACGATAACTGTCAAAATTTTGCTAATTGGTATATTTTTAGCAAACGTTTGCTAATTGGCATATTTCGAGTGGAAGGTTAAAATTTGCAAATTTTCTTTCGAAATTTCGACTAGTTACTCACATAAAATTCAATTTACAGATAAATCAATTTTTGGTTTTATGCGGGTTTTTATAACTTTGAGGGTTGTTCTGAAATCGGGGAAACAAAATTTTGGTTAACAAGAATGAAAACCGACGAAACCACTAATCGGGTTAAGGTTAATAAGATCATATCAAGAAATGTGCCATGAAAAATTTTCCAATTAGCAAATTTTTGGTTTTACTACTTCTTTTATGTTGCCATCTTTTTCATTGGATCGGTCAAAATTGGCCCCCAAAAATATATCTTGACTCTTTTCTGTAAATTTAACCTTCTTTAATCAACACACCGGCCGTCTTTGACCGTCGTCAATAAAATAGAGAAATAATCCAAGTAAACGGGTGCTTGTGTCTGGTTTTGGGTAGCTGGGTGTTGGTACTAATTTATAAAGGTTAAACGGAAATAATGCAAACTCTCAGGACCTTCAGAAAATTTAGTTGAGCGATCAAAACAAATTCAGCCTGTTGTAACCCTTTCTTCCAAGCAAAATAGGAGCAAAAATATGCCCATCGGCTAATTTAAATGACAGTTATCATTAGAATATGAAATTGCGTTGATTTACATCTAATGTATTTGCCAGCGAACCAGTTCCCGCAGGATCGAGGTAATTTAGTGTGAAAACATGAGAATCATCATTGAACAAATCTAAACTTGTGCACTTTTCAATCTACAATTTTCATGAGTGGGCTCTTCAGACTTGATTCAAATTATCTGTGAAGAAAAAAGGATCGAGTTCTTTTGTAATCTTTGAGTAACTGCATCGCTTAGAAATCATGCACTGATATAAATTTTGTTATTTTAGAAAATCAGATAGGATAAATATCCTGCAGCACCCTTTTTACGTTCAGCTTTAACCTTGATTTATATTGCATGGATCATGTATAATATCTTTGGAATGATCATCCGTCAACAGTGCAGCCAGAATCTATCAATCGAATGGGAAATAGTTGCTTCGTGTGGTTCTGTTTTGGGTTTTTATCAAATCATGCTACTATTGTTAAATTGTTACCTCACACATCTTTTTAAGTTTTTACTAGCCCAACGCATTTCCTTAATATGATATTTTGCAAATATCGAGTGAGTAAACGTGCAGTACTAAATATTATAGAACGGGTACTACATTATATTTCTCCCAATTTCTTTTGCAGTACGCCAGAATTGATTGCCCCAACATATTTGAAATTCTTTCATTCAAATTTCTGATTGTTTCTGAATACTGATAGTTGGATAATATCCGGTTGAGAGACAAGGACGAGTGAAACAAGGAAGTTAGGAATGAAGGCAAATTTTCGGCGTCAACGCCATCTTCAGGCTAAAATTGGTATAAATATTAGTATTATATTATAAATGGTTCTACATTAAAACTAGTTAAAATGTCGAATCAAATCACACATCAGAATCAGAAACATCCAGACATTTCTACTCCATCATTTGATGTTTCTGAATAGACTCAGTGAAGACAGATTCTAATGGAAATAAATAGCTGAATAACGTATCGACATTTCTACGTCATACTCATATTCTCAAATTATTTGTTATATAGTAATGTTGATAGTATTAAAAATAAAAGTATTAAAAATACTTTCAACACTACTATATAACAAATAATTTGAGAATATGAGTATGACGTAGAAATTTCGATACGTTCGCGTTATTCAGCTATTTATTTCCATTAGAACCTGTCTTCACTGAGTCTATTCAGAAACAATCAGAAATTTGAATGAAAGAATTATCAAATCATGAGACTCTATAACACTACACGAATCCACCAGATATTTGAAATTTGGAACTTAGACGCGATCCATTGGTTCCGTTCGTGTATAGCCTGGAGCCGAATTATCATTATTTAATTTATTTTATAGCCCAAGTAGTGCTTAAATCACCCATACATAGTTTGTTTCATGTCAGAATAAATTTTCTGATCAAATATACAAAATACATACCTGTACTAAATATATAACATGATTTAAATAATTATAATGTACTCTATTCCTAAAATCAAATTAGGTCGAAACAAATTCTTGTGTTATTACTTGTTTAGTGCTTTGCATGCCCCAATGATCACATATCGCCAAAAACATCCAGATCGAAGTTTTGGGTATCTGTATCATATGTGTAAATGTGTATGATATGGGTTAATATAAAACAGTTTCATAGAATAAGTAAATCCGGATCGCTTTTTTGCTTCAATCACAATTATAAGTATGATTCAGCTGCCAAAATTCAGGGAACAATATTTGGTCGACCCTATAATTGTATCAGAGCAAATGGGACATGATAATGCCTGTAAAGTAGAGTCAATGCTCTATAATCTATAGCAATAGCATAACCCCACCATTTTATATATTCCTACAATAATCGCACTTAAATTGAATGATGTCATCGCTAATAATGGTCGATGTAAAGCGTGTTTCAACATTTCAGTGAATTCGAGATGCTGAGCTGTGGATTACTGACGGCTTGTTACCATAGTTACGATAAAACTGAGTGGATCAATATTCTCACTGTCAAAATGAAAGGTATAATTACAATATACACACTACGTAGTACCCATTATTATCTCAAAATGAGCAGCTTTTTACTACGCTGGATTCATCAAAGTGGCAACACATATATAAGATAAACCGCTTGTCCTTTAATGAAATAAAAAGCTTCTTACAAATTGTTGATAACCAAGATTTACACAAGATTTACACTGTGATTGTACAATGTACATTAACAGATTGTACAGATTGTACATATTGTACATTAAGAATTGTTGATATCCGGAATTTCCAATCTGCAGATTGGGGATACCTGAACCTGTTTGTGATAGCCAACATTACTGGAAGCAAGCTGTTCATATCTCATGCTGCCTACCAGTCCTATCTCACCGACATTTGGATGGGAAATATTCATGCTAGTACTCCTACTTGGAAGGTTTACTTTTCTTATTGATAGTTTTTTAATTGATTTTATTTTCTCAGATTGTGATATCTTATTGAGTAATTAAGTAAAATTTACAACAATCTATAATGGAATTAACAAAAATAAATAAAACGTTACTCCTACTTCGAAGGTTCACTTTTATGATTGATTTTTAAAAACCTTTCTAATTGATTTTATTTTCTTAGATTGTGGTAACTAATTGAGCAAATATATTAAAATCTAAACAATGGAATTAACAAAAATTAACAAAAATTAACAAAAATTAACAAAAAGTAACAAAAATTAACAAAAATTAACTTTCAGCTCCTACTATACATCTTCCCGCCCCTGCCTATTTTCCTATCATTCAATGCGAGGTTCACCAACAAGGATGGCACAATGAAAAGGTAGACCTTTCTTGTGACTCTTATTTGTAATCATGTTATTAGATAAAAGAAAACTTAATTCCCCAATAATTGTTAGAAATAAAGATTTGTACTTGAAGAATGCATAAACGAAATTGTAGTCATTTTTTAAGCGAACCCATCAAGTTCTTCAAAAAATACTAGTTCTTTAATTGTTGTTTAATTATTAGGTTAGATTCGAATGAACCGGACGAAACACCAAAGTTCTCGGGAAGGGAGAGGCTGGAGCTCTACTATACCTCACCTGTAATCAAATTTTTCCTCAATACCATCACTTACCTTATCTTCCTCGGTAAATATTTCAACTTCTTTAATGTCAGTCGTCAAAATGGGTTGACTGATTTTTTTAAAAGTTGTTACTAAAATTTGATATGAAATCAGGAGAATTTCTTTAAAAGGGCCTTACTTTAGCCAAAATGGCCTTTAACAGACTTTTAACATCATCTTTCCCAGCTGTTTTCATGGCCACACTACTGGGAAGTTCAGCTGGAAGTAATAAAGCTGGAGGTAGCTCAGCTGAGGGTAACGGCAGTGGCAGCAAGCCAGATACAATAGATTTTAAAGACATATACACCATCGTATTCGTCATTTCAACCTTTCCCGTTGAACTCGCACAGGTTTGCTTACAGTTTCAATGTTATTTTAGTTGAACTCGCACAGGTTTGCTTACAGTTTTAAGGTTATTTTAGTTGAACTCAAACAGGTTTGCTTACAGTTTTAAGGTTATTTTAGTTGAACTCAAACAGGTTTGCTTACAGTTTGGAGATTATTTTCATGTGTTTTTGGGTCAATCGTTATGGAGGTGAAAATCGTGATTCAGGTTTATTCTCCCCTCCCATGGTAATGGAAATGTAAGATAGAACGAATAAGTGATCAAAATGTCTACCTACTACCTGTAATACATTTCTACCTGTAATTCGCTTATAATAATATAATAGATTACACTAAAGAAGTGCAGGAGTCAGTTCTTTAGGAGTTTAGGAAACTTTGAAGACTAGAATAGATAAAATAAAACAAGTCACAGTGAAGGTTCCTCTTATGTAGGGAGGCGAAGGTCACAAACATTCTAACGACTTGTATCATTTTGATAGGTTTAATTAATTTTTAATCGTTGTTCATATATCCTACATTTAATACAATTACCTTAATTTGATTAATTTCAGATTCTCGCCAAGCACACAAAATCAGTGAAAAAGAAGTTCGCCCACCACTTTAAGAAAGTTTACAATCTGCTAGACTTTTTGGCAGTTATACTGTTTCTGTTCGGGTTCGCAATTAAAGCTAACCTCGAGAACAAAGGTGGAATATATTTGTTTTTTTAGAAAAAGTTCAAAAATATTGGTAGCAACGGATCATTTCCGTTACTTATGTATTGTGCTCTGCCAATTGCAACACTTGATTTGATTGTGCTCTGCCAATTCTTCACCTGATTTATTTGAATGTATATATTGTTTAAATGTCCTTTTCCCTTCCATAAAGGTGAACAGGCGGAGAGTGAAAGAAAACGAAGATACAATTTGAAAGAGTTCTCGTGAGTAATGATTTTCATTTATTGAAATTCATATTTTTGTTGTTGTTTAAATTTACTGTACATGGTAATGTAAATAGAACTATACAACAGTAATATACAAGACCTGTGGTGATGGGTAACACCACTATAGATCTATCCAAATCTGCCAAATTCCTAGGAGTGACCCTTGCCAGCAAGCTCAACTTCAACGAACATATCACCAATATCACCTAAAAATCTACGGCATCCCTTATGCAATGTAGAAGAGCTGTGAGGCATTAGCATTGAGAATGATGTCTGGTGCCATGCCAAGTACTCCCTTCATCGCATTGAACCACCTCACTAACACTTCAGATATCATACTTTTCTGAGAGGCGAAGCAGCAAAGGGCACTGCCAGGCTTTAAGCCTCCGGTAGCCTAACCCATCAAAACTCACACCACTATCAACAAACAATTCATGGTAGATCTCAACATACCATCCAAAGCAGAGAGAGACCTATCAATACCAACCATGATGCTTGAACGGCATTTCACAGTCACCATTCCTGGAGCCGACAACATCAATGTAGAGATTCACTTCAAAACACCATCGACAACATCTCCAGTGAGACGATCACCTGCTACACAGACAGGTCACGCACAGACTCAGGTAGTGGGGCTGGCTATATCATCACCACTGACAATAACAACACTACCCTAGAGGAAAGATCATTCAAGCTTCCTGATTATTGCACTGTTTATCAAACAGAGCTCACCGCCATCATCGAAGCTTGCAAATATCTCTCTACTTATACCAACACACGCATCATTATATGGTCTGACAGTCTCTCCTCTATACAAGCTATATCCTCACTAGTCACTCTCAACGAGGAGTAGAACTACTAGAGACTGTTATGACACGTCCCCTAACCGAATATAACTTCAGAGATTACCACCAATATAGACTGATAGCGTCCCTCTGTTTTGCATTCTACTGTTTTACGTTCATGAGAATGTTTGAGATTAACAGCAAGATTGGTCCGAAACTCTTCATGCTCCGTCGGATGTCTATCGACTTATTCTTCTTTATATTCTTATTACTGGTAATTAACTGTCATTATCACTGTTAATTAACTGTTAAATCTTAAATGGGTTTCAATAATATAATAATATTTACTTAAAAAAGTAGATTTTACTTTTTTGTGTTCATTTGCAATAAGTGGCAAGTTAAAAATATCAAATTCCGTGCCCTGTGTTATTCCCATGTGTTATTCTCATACAATGACCTTTTTTCCAGGTTTTCACTATGACATATTGTATTGCATCAGAGGCCCTCATGTATCCGTTTAATGATGCAGCTTTGGGTGATACTATCTTTAACGCTGTGAAGCGGGCTTACCTTAACGTGTTTGGAGATATCAATATGGATGGTATAGAAAACAACATAGTCGAAGGTTTGTTGTTACAAGCTCGAGATCAATTAATACCCATTAAATCTAAAGTTGTGCACACGACATTAGCCTATGCAGCCCTTGACCATGGTCGGGGTCCCACGACCCACCCCATATTTAGTTATTTAGTGATTTTGACACCACTTGGGGGTCCAAATGTATGAGGAATTTTTGGGTCTGCATTTAAATTGAGTCACATTTTAGCATAATTGACTTATCTGCCAGATTTTTTAGCCAGATTTTTTACGGCATGATCGTGAAATAACTAAATTTGAATCTGGACATAACTGAATTTGAATCAGGAAATAACTGAATTTGAATCAGAACATAACTGAATTTGAATCAGGACATTGCACTGCGGATTCTGTGGGCGCAACCTGGCCAGAATTAAATGGTAATACCACGTGCAAAATAGAGCAAGTTCGAAACACGGATGTTGGAAAGGTTTGCTTGCACCTTTAAAAGTATAAAGTATAAACACTTCTTTTTAAATATATTTTAATATTCTTTAGTCTAACCTTTAATTAATCACTGATAAATGAACTCTTTCCATATCTGTATAAACGTCATAAATAATAACGATATGATAACTCTATGATAACTATGATAACATAAAATTTGTCCGAAAATTAATATTCCATTAACTTTCAGGTCACTTAATTAATATTCCATTTGCTTGCAGTTCAACCACTACTTTACTTTCTTCTTTAATTAATTGATATTTCATTTACAGGTCAACTACTACTTCACCTTCTTCTTACTATGTATGTACCTCTTATTCGTGAATATCATGTTAATAAACTTGTTGATCGCCATCTTCTCCAATACATACGCGGACTCTGAAGCTAAGTCAGGTAATTCATCAAAAAATAAATTCATCAAACTGTAAAATTGAGATATAACATCAATCAACCTTGATATACTTATTTTTTTCCAGTTGTTAACTTTATATCTATATCTATTTGTTTATTAACAAAGTCAAAGTGGCAAAAAAAAGAAGAAAAAAAGTGGCAGACTGTCACGTTTCTTTTCTCAAAAATTTCCTTTTCTCAATAGAAATCTTTCCCAACAACTCTGAGGATAATTCAAGTCAACTTTTAACAGGTATAATCTACAAAACTCAGCGAGCTGAAGTTATATTACAGTTTAGAGAACGCCCCTGGCTACCAAACCCGCTGTCACTGGTTTACTTTGTCGGGTTGATGGTTAAAAAAATATTTGATAAGTGTGTTTGCAAGAAGAAACTCTACCGGAGTCAGATAAAGAAAGGTTTTCATTTGTGGATTTTTTTTTTTAATTTTTAATTGCAACCTGCCTATAAATTTGTGGAATGTTGATGTCTTTAAGGTCACTATTTGTTGGCTCGAAATTGTGGATTAATCTTTATTTCTTTTTATTGTATCTGAAAGTTTCTTGTATAATAAGCAATCTATAGATGAAACTTTTAGTTGAGCTGATACATTAATGTTTCTTTGTTTTGATTTTACCAATATTAGTTGATCACTTTGTAAAATAGAAAACGCATAAATAATTACATTTTTATTCAGTTAACAAACAGAATACATCGTTTAATGCATTCCGAGCATCACTGATTGAAGCGGAGTGTGTTGGGATATTTATACGAAAGAAAAAGCAGAAAGCTGTGTCAGTGTCATCCCTACTTGAAAAGCTACACTTGTAAGTTTATTCTTAATAAAAAATCGTCTTTTTTCAAATCATTATCCCTAAAAGATTCCCCGATGTGCCAACCATTCTATAATTGACACACACTGTTCTACCCTAAATAACACAGCATATAAAAACCACTAATCCAAACTCACAACAACACCTCTGCCAGGCGGTTTACGGGACTAACCCACACTGTTGAGAACGTGGAAGCCCAAATCAAGAAGTCAGCAGGAGTGATGGAGTCCTCTGCGCTGAAGAAGAACAGCTCTCGGGGCGGTTCTAAAACTAACACCCTGAAGAAAGAGCTGCTCACTCATCCAGTGCATAAAATTGCTAGAATCTCTCCCTATGGAGGTGATTTTTATTGAATTTTTTTAAAAACAGAGTACAGTAATAAATTATCATAAAATAGAACCGTTCGAAAATATTGCCCCCAGCTATTAAGTATGATAGGCACCCAATCACGGTCAAATATTTTTTTTTTCGTTTAAGAAATATGTCTGCTTTTGGTGCTCCTCGAATTTTTGATTGCACATATTTTTCTGGTGTAGAGCCCATCTTCGTTGCAAGATAATTATCACAGGCTAAGCCTTCCAAATTTTGTTATCTCCTGGAATTAGTCGGTGATTAATTCCGTTAAAATTTGGCTATCATCGAAGGACTGAAAGAGAATAAATAGGAATCCTATAATATTTACCGTGATAATATTGAAAACAGCGGATATAAACCCAGTTGTACATGATCAGGTACAGGTGATGTGGTCAGGATACCAGTTGCTGATGACAGGGTGTCATGGTGCACGCTACACGAGTGGTATGATCCACCTGACTTTACCTGTGATTCCGTGGCTGACACCGACACTGACGACATGTAAGTTTGGACAACTTACAAGTTATAATTATTAGATGTTATGTTTTTAGACTAATAGTAAATACAACACTACAAATCTATTGCATTTATTGAGGATGTAACAGAAAACGTATATGTATTAATGTAGTCCTAATCTTCTTCGGTCATACTCCCTTTCTTGCATCAAATATATGTGTTTAAATCCCGAAATTTGTTAATGAACTAAGAAGCATGATGTTAGTCTACATTTGACCCCATGTAATATAGGGCAATTATAAGTTCATTGTTCGCTGATTATAATTCAACCAATTTTGAACCCTCTCCAACATTTTGTGATTGCAGGGACTATATACATTTTTTTTAAAAGTGTTCAAACTGTAGGTACACAAAATATTTTAGGGACTCTATCCAGTTTAACGCTGTGGACGGCAAAGTTGACAGAACCAGTCTGTATATACCTTATGCAGTTGTAGATGGAGACCCAATGTAAGTTTTAAAATGTGTTTATCTCAATGTGTAGCTAGTGATTCGCAAAATGGCGATAAATATCATTTATTTATTTGAAGGCTATGTTTCAGCAGTGTTTTAACGTTAAGGCCGGTTTGTTTTGCTTGAGTCATCGATAAGGTAATTTGGTTGAATTTTGAACAACTAACAATTCGTAGGAATCCGGTGGGAAGAACAGGTTTGAAAGGAAGAGGGTTACTTCAGAAATGGGGCCCAAACAAGTTCGCAGTAACTGTTATCACTAGGTGAGTGCTCACATAATACAACTTTTAAACTTAAAAATACAAAGATTTGCGAGTCCTGTCGGGATCTCTTTACCATAACATAAGGATAATAGATTACAGATTATAGATTATAGATTATAGATTATAGATTATAGATTATAGATTATAGATTATAGATTATAGATTATAGATTATAGATTATAGATTATAGATTATAGATTATAGATTATAGATAATAGATAATAGATAATAGATAATAGATAATAGATAATAGATAATAGATTAATTGTAGTTTTCGTTCATTTACATTGAGATTTTATTTCAGATGGGCACGACCAGGAACAGGGAATGTGTTTTCAATTAAAAACAAACAAGTTATTGAAGTGCTGTTAGTTAAAAATGACAAGGACTCGCCCTATACTCTTCCTAAGGTGGTTTGCTTTACGTTTTTCTTTATTTTTAAATATATTTTTTCAGAGATAGTTTCAGAATTTCATTATTAAAAGCATCGTGGTGATGATATGTAAGTTCGGCACTAATATTGGTATTTGAACAGCTCCGATGTGATACTGAGATAGACGACAAGTCACATAAGAAGGTCGTGAAATCAGTATGTTACGATTACGAAGAAGTATCAGCGGCTGAGAACCAGAACGTGGACAAACTGATTGAAAGTGCATTCGTTGATCAATACAACCCCATTTATAAGGTATAGGTTCTTAGTGTTATTTTTACACTTAACTAGTAACGATATGGTGAAACCCGTGGAGCGAAATTAACTGTAATTACTATCCCCCGGGGCCTACTCCCTAAACATCTGTACTGTTCAGGGGTACTTTGACGACACGGTTAACACTGACAACGCATGGGTAGAGGTCCATGTTTCTAGCGTCCACATTGACGGTAGCTTCTCTACCACTCCTCCCTCAGTGAGTAACGCCCGTTTTATAATTATAATTATAATTATGTAATATTTAATGAAGATACCATATTCGTAAACATTGACAGTACCCAATCTTGCAGTGTTTCAGTATTTCGACACATCTTTAGTCGTTTCGTTTTTAGTAGTGCAATTTCCTTATCAATTTTGAAGAGTTCTTGTAGAAAATAAAGCTTTGATTTTGATTTTACTGAAGTTGTTTTAACATGCCATTATATGGACTGTCAGGTATTGACATCGAACTTTTTACAGAAGGGCAAAGATGTGGAAGAAGCCACGTGGACGATGCTCAACAGCAAAGCAGCTCTCCGGCAAAACGACGCCTGGTTACTGAAAATGACGTGCAACAAACTACACTGCTACAACCCTTGGCGGGGCGAAGTTTTAATCTAGAACTTTGGTTACTTGGGTTACCATGGTTACTTTGGGTTTTCTTTTGTGTCATTTCGCATTTATCTTGGTAGTGTGCAGCAGCTCTTGTGAACTTTGTAATTTATATCTCATGAACCGGGAGTTGATCGAAGCTTTGCCGTGGGTCCCTCACATCAAAATTAGTGCGGCTCTGAATAACATGTGTCGTCCAGAGCCGCTCTAATTCAGAACCGCGCCAATTTTGATGTGATGGATCCAAGGTAAGTCCCTGAGTTTATTTTTAATGTATATAGAAGATGATGGAGACAGTTTTCAAAACAGACTTAATTAAAACAGTAACAGCTATGTGTATATTCATTTTGAATTTTTAGAATTTTTATCAGTGTTCTTAAGATGAGTAGACGTGTTATGTTCCCTTATTCTTATTGCTGCGGGTCGATGAGTTCTGCAGTATTCTCCAACCCTTGAGACAAGATGATACCTCCGCCATTCAATATCTGGAACATTTTTCAATCTAACTTGATGTAATATCCGGAGCATTATTTATTTGCCGGATTGTTGTAATGATTCTGGGGCAAAATTTGTAGTGTTCCCGTTTATTGCGACAACCAAAATGATCTTATCAGGATAAGATCATCTTGTTGAAGGGGTGTATTGCAGTGTTCGGAGAGGTTTGGTTCAAATGGTCTTCCTTTCTTAAGAGGAGTAGGTCAGCTTACAACTTTGAGGGATATTTATATTGAAATAAGTCTAAACAACGAGCGGGAAGACTTTGTGATGAACAAACAGTTCTGCCGTCAACCTTGGTGCAAATTTGGGAACATTTTACTTTAAAACTATTGTTTTACTAAGGGCTGACAAAAAACACATTCCTGGGCCCTTACACTAAACCGTCTAATGAGATGATATATGAATTATGACCTACATTTAGAGTGGTAAGCTTTTCTCCACGACCTCCTGGACTGTTTGAACCTAATCACGTGGCATAAAGATCCTTATATGGGCATCACGTTGTATGAAGATCCTTATATGGGCATCATGTGGTATGAAGATCCCGAGGTTTTTATGTACAAACAGATTCTTATTGTAGTAAACTATCAAATCTTCAATGTATAGCTACAGCTCAAGTATCGAACAGTAGAAGCGTATCATAGTTGTGACAAACTGGTAGATGGACAAGTTTTCTCTTTCATAAAACAACATAATCCTGCGTATACAGAGTGACCGAGCGTGGAATGTTAACACTTGATGATTTTGATACAGGGTGTTTTCAAGGTTGCTAGGGGACTGATTGTGGTTGCTATGGTGGCCATGGCAACGTACACAATTCAGAAGTCGCCAATAAACCGTAAAAGGACTGCAGTAACTGTTTACAGAATGAAGTTTAGACAAATGCATAAAAAGTTATTCAAAAAGTAAATCCTTGCAAGACTTTTGAAACACCCTGTAGCATTGATCACCATACTATTTAAGAGTTTTCGTTGATTAGTCATGGTTTTTTGTCACTGAGTTCAAGGAGCTACTAGATTATTATTTATAATTCCAACAACATCTGAGGAGGATATCTCTGATCACGTTTTATTGAAAGTCAAATTGTTTGTAGATTTTGTTCTTTAACATTGTTATTTGATTTTTAGGTTCCTATTTCATGAAATGTTGTTCTCATTTGTACTTAAATATAAAAATGTCTGCTGTTCCCGAAATTTCATAGTTTTTACCGAGTTTTTTACCAGTGATCAATCAGTGAGGTGAAGGTGACTAGTGAAAATTGATAAACTATCTATATTCTGTATACTACGGTGCAATTAATTCATTCAGACGAAATCTTGATTACAAATAGATTAAAGTTATTCTAAATTTCTACTCCTTCTAACTATAACTTAAAGAATATGTGCCTAAACTAAAACATACGTACTACACAAATAATAAATCTGAGAAACTTAATAATCCTAATAAACCTAATAACCCTAATAAACCTAATAACCCTAACAAACCTAATAAACCTAATAAGTCTAACAAAGCTAACAAATCTTAAATCTAACAATTCCAATAAATTAATAATAATAACCTTTACCTAGTAAGCTAGTAATAAACCTTACAATAAGCCTACAAAACTGTCATCATTAAAGATGTTAAGTAATCTTGATATCTAGATATGTGTTGTATTTCAGTAAAATTCGTTTTATCATCATTTTCTATAAGAGAAGACATGTAATTATTATATTCGTAGACACAGAAGTAAACATCCTCATTCCCCCGTGTCACCACCTAGTTATCATGATTACTCCGCCTCTATCTGGACTGGTTGGTACTTCTTATTCCCACTCATCACTTCTACATCCTCTGGAGTCTCTGCAATCCTCCTCCCAGTGGTATCAGAGAGAAAGCAGACAGCAACACCGCACAGGACTGTAGCACCTTTCAGATGGAGGTGGTGTTAGTGAGTCTGGGTGTAGATCACTTATAAATTTATAATAAGTATCTCCAGAACTTGCATTTGGTATTTACCTTAGTCGGTAATATTATGGGGGGTCTAATTTGGTCCTTTTCGTGCCAAAAAACCATATTTATAACAGTCCATATTTTTAACACCCATAATTTTCACTGGGCCTCGCCGAGCTGCGAAGGATTGACATCGTACTGAATCAAAATACATTCCTTCTGCAGCTATAAATAATATGCTAATTGTGAAAGAATCAAATCACCTGCTATCACCCCCAGAGGGACACGTCTGTCCGTCATGTCGTAGAGCAGGTTAATGTAGGTCCCGAGGAAGCTGCCCACTCTGGCCGCACTGGAGCTGAGAATAAAAATTATGATCAAATATAGATACTGAGGACCACAGAAACCGGATAATTTGGAAAAATTTAGAATAACCGAACTTCAACTAGGGAAGTTTTAATCATATGATTTTCTATTTGCTTAGCTAGTGGTATTCATGATAAAACCAAAGCCTACGTACCTGAGAGACATGACCATGCCACGATGGGAAGTGGGAGCTATCTCGCTGGTGAACAGGTAGAGCTGGCCGAAAACAGCGGTGATGGCTATACTCCCCAGCAGACACGACACGTGTTCAAGGGTCCAGTTCTCACTGAGTTGAACATCCGGCATGGCGAGGAAGTTAGACAGGATCCCACAAACCAAGAAGAACAACATGGTCTTCTTCCGTCCCAACCAGGCGCAAATCGGGATTAAGATGGTGAAAGCAATGACTTTGCCGAGGGCTGCAAACAGGTAGCTACCGTACAGGTCTGTGGAGATCTTTGACCAGCCGAACGATAAACCGTAAAAGAGGCAGGCCACGATAAACCAGCATCCCATGCAGAGGAGGGTTTCTTTCCGTAAGGTTGGATACTTCTTAAAGTCTTTCAGTTGTTGGAAGTAGTTCTGTTTTCGTGCTTTGAAGGTGAGACTTCCCGCGGCAAATTCTACCTTGTTGTTGCAGATTCTACCCAGCGCAGCCAAAGTTTCCCTCGCTTCTTCCTCCTTGCCTCTGACCAGAGAGAACCGCGGAGATTTTGGATATATCAAGAGAGGGGTGATGAACAGGAAGTTAAGGATACCAGTTGCCAGGAAAATGTAGTTCCAAACCGGGATCAGGTACCCAATAAGAACTATAACCAGGTACCCAAAAGACCAGCAGATCAGTAAGATAGAGCTCATGGAACTCCTCAGGTGGCTGGGAGCGAACTCAATAACCCAACAATACACTCCCGTAAAGTTGATGAACTGACCGAACCCTTGGAAGACTCTCACCACTAGTAGACCCTCGTAAGATGGGATCCAAGTAGCTGCTACTGTGGCGGCTGCTGCGATAACTGATCCACCTATAAATTAGATAAATTAGATATATTAAAATAGCAATAATTGGGTAAAAAATGGTAACAGAAATTGTGAACATCTTGAAAGTTGGAACCCGTTGAAGTTGAACATAAAACAGCCCATCTACGATGATTTTTAAAAGTCCTATCGATTAAAAATAATTATTCAACCAAAATCAGAAAACATGTCAAAAATAAAAGGTATGATTTTAGCACCGATAATGAATGTAACTTTAAATTGAAGAATAAAAGCTTACCTATAGCTCCGTTCCTCCTGCCAGTCCTATCAAATATTGCAGTTGATGAGAGCAACCCCACAAAAGCACCAATAAAGAAGAAGCTGGAAACTACGGTTAACTTAGTTTCTGTGTCACAGTAGAAGCCCCAGTCCATTGAAAAGCTTGTCCTCTCACTGGTCCATTTAAAATCCAGCCCAGCCTGCAGCTTGTTCCCACACATTGTACTGTGGGAGTAGAATGTCTGGGAGTTGTTGCTAGGAGTTGCTGCTATAAGGAGACCAAAACACTTTTCAGAAATACAGGTCCAGTCTGTATAGGGTATGATGCCAGTGAAGATTGTAATGTAGATTTCAGCAGCGGTTAAATAAGCGCTTCCAACTGCGGAGATGAATACAAGCACGATTTTTATGTTTAGACCGTTCCAGATTTTGTCCACGGCTTGGTCGATTGATATTGGTCCTTCATCTTTTGTTGGTTCTGTTGGTTCTTCTTCGTCGTCGTCAAGTTTGGAAAACCCCATTACCTCGACTGCGTTCAAGGGTTTTATTTAAAGATATGTGTATTGAAGTATTTGACCAAAACCCATAATCATGGGTAGAGTGGACCGCTGCCAGTGTCTCTCTTTCCCAAACAAAAGGAAATGATATTAATTTGATTGACCGTTCTCAAATGCAAAATGATACCGAGAATGAAATCGGTCGCTCGCTTTTCCCATTCATTCACGGCTTACGAATTGTAATAAGTTTCGATTGATTAGGTACATCAATCAGATGCTGTAAAAATCTCTTTGGGTTGCGTTCGGGTCGATACCTAGTATTTCGGGGTAAGGGTGGTAGTTATTACTTATTGAATTAGCTGAAGTTTATTGAATCTTTATTGCTGAGTACAGCTGCCTTTGGGTAGTTCTTCTTAATCTATTACAATTGTAAATGAATGGGAAAAGCGAGCGACCGATTTCATTCTCGGTATCATTTTGCATTTGAGAACGGTCAATCAAATTAATATCATTTCCTTTTGTTTGGGAAAGAGAGACACTGGCAGCGGTCCACTCTACCCATGATTATGGGTTTTGGTCAAATATCATCTCTTTTTGATTATAATGTCAGGGTACTTTATAAAGTCGAAATATAAACTGATATCTTCATTAATAAGGAGGAAGTTTCAACAATTTCGAAATTTTTCCTTTAAAAACATTTCCTTGTGTTTAGGTAAGCATATCGGTCGATCACTGACTGAATATGCCACTTAATACTCATTCAAGTTGGCATTAAATTCATTTATAATGACATTAAACTGTCGTGGCAAAGCAGAATTTGTTGGAAATCACAAATGAGCAAAATTCTCACCTTTCGCACGTGCAAACTTTGAGCGGACGTTGCGTGCGCATCCAATATTGAATCTCCGTAAATTTTGCATGTAATTGTTGTATATATAGCTTGATAAGCATGCAAAGTTTCAAAGTATTTCAAGAAGAACTGTTATCACAACGGCACTCTAAAGTTGACAGAAAATGACGAAAACAGCAATTTTCAGTGATTTTAGCAATTTTCTATCAATTTGGGCGTGTCCCCACGTGTGCAACTTTTCGATTTTTAACTTTAAAACTAGCCTAATGCACAATTTATATCTATAGGAAGCAGAACTGAGCTCCACAACCCAAGGCATGGCCCAACACCAGAGAATACTAAATCGCAAAATTGACGTTTTTATAAAATAATTCTTCAAAAAAGCACAAACTTCAATGACGAATATCTTTATGAAGGAGCAAGCTAGAAAAACTTTCCGGTAGATTTTCAGAATGCTTGAACAATTATCTAAGGTGAAAATTTCCTCAGATTTTGAATAAAATTACTTTTTAATGGTCTAAAATCATTTTTAAAAGTTATTACTTTGTCAAAAATCAAGTTTTAAAAACGGTTAACTTGATGACGTCATCAAGGGGTGTTCATGACGTCAAATAATTTGTTTATACAATGTAAACTAAAGTGTAAACAATTATTTTCAAGACCTGTGGTCGGAAATGGCTGTATCTTTTATACTTTTGAATCTATGGACAATTAAATACAGGCTACAATTGACTGGCAAAGCGTCTATCCCTGAATATATATGTATATATGTAATTCGAACAATTGAAACAAATCAAATTGGCGGGCAAACGATCCGTTTCATGATATGTATAAAAAACAATACCAATCATCAGTGCCAAATAGAATAATGAATTGTAGCGCTATGACATGTTGCTCCTTTATAAAATAATTTGTATCGATCATGAAACATTTTCAAAATTATCAAAATTTACAAAATTTCCAAAAATAACAGTTTATTGTGTCCGTCCAAATTTTAAAATTGTCTATGAAGTAAGGTAGTAAGATATCTTTGGCTTTTAAAGTTGTAAACTGCGTTGGCCTTCGTGTAGTGGTAGAGGAAAATTCTTTACTTCATAGACTTCATAGACAATTTTAAAATTTGGACGGACACAATAAACTGTTATTTTTGGAAATTTTGTAAATTTTGATAATTTTGAAAATGTTTCATGATCGATACAAATTATTTTATAAAGGAGCAACATGCCATAGCGCTACAATTCATTATTCTATTTGGCACTGATGATTGGTATTGTTTTTTATACATATCATGAAACGGATCGTTTGCCCGCCAATTTGATTTGTTTCAATTGTTCGAATTATAATGCTCCTGCTTAACTGCAGTCGAGCACTCTCTTTGGGAAACCAAACAACAACTATTTATTAGTTATGCTCCTTCGACTCGTCGTTGTTGAGCACTCTCGTTTGATAACCAGAATCAACAATTAACTCTCAAATACGGATCCTAATTCTACCAGCATCACGGAACTCAGTAAAGAATTTTCCTCTACCACTACACGAAGGCCAACGCAGTTTACAACTTTAAAAGCCAAAGATATCTTACTACCTTACTTCATAGACAATTTTAAAATTTGGACGGACACAATAAACTGTTATTTTTGGAAATTTTGTAAATTTTGATAATTTTGAAAATGTTTCATGATCGATACAAATTATTTTATAAAGGAGCAACATGTCATAGCGCTACAATTCATTATTCTATTTGGCACTGATGATTGGTATTGTTTTTTATACATATCATGAAACGGATCGTTTGCCCGCCAATTTGATTTGTTTCAATTGTTCGAATTATAATGCTCCTGCTTAACTGCAGTCGAGCACTCTCTTTGGGAAACCAAACAACAACTATTTATTAGTTATGCTCCTTCGACTCGTCGTTGTTGAGCACTCTCGTTTGATAACCAGAATCAACAATTAACTCTCAAATACGGATCCTAATTCTACCAGCATCACGGAACTCAGTAAAGAATTTTCCTCTACCACTACACGAAGGCCAACGCAGTTTACAACTTTAAAAGCCAAAGATATCTTACTACCTTACTTCATAGACAATTTTAAAATTTGGACGGACACAATAAACTGTTATTTTTGGAAATTTTGTAAATTTTGATAATTTTGAAAATGTTTCATGATCGATACAAATTATTTTATAAAGGAGCAACATGTCATAGCGCTACAATTCATTATTCTATTTGGCACTGATGATTGGTATTGTTTTTTATACATATCATGAAACGGATCGTTTGCCCGCCAATTTGATTTGTTTCAATTGTTCGAATTATAATGCTCCTGCTTAACTGCAGTCGAGCACTCTCTTTGGGAAACCAAACAACAACTATTTATTAGTTATGCTCCTTCGACTCGTCGTTGTTGAGCACTCTCGTTTGATAACCAGAATCAACAATTAACTCTCAAATACGGATCCTAATTCTACCAGCATCACGGAACTCAGTAAAGAATTTTCCTCTACCACTACACGAAGGCCAACGCAGTTTACAACTTTAAAAGCCAAAGATATCTTACTACCTTACTTCATAGACAATTTTAAAATTTGGACGGACACAATAAACTGTTATTTTTGGAAATTTTGTAAATTTTGATAATTTTGAAAATGTTTCATGATCGATACAAATTATTTTATAAAGGAGCAACATGTCATAGCGCTACAATTCATTATTCTATTTGGCACTGATGATTGGTATTGTTTTTTATACATATCATGAAACGGATCGTTTGCCCGCCAATTTGATTTGTTTCAATTGTTCGAATTATAATGCTCCTGCTTAACTGCAGTCGAGCACTCTCTTTGGGAAACCAAACAACAACTATTTATATGTATATATGTATATATATATATAGATAGATATCACGACAATCTGTCGTAAAACAGGGGTTCTAGAAAACCCACTTCCCGATGTTCCTGAAACATGAAACTTTTTTTGCAGTCGATTTGGTCAACGTCTAGACGCCCTGAAAAATTTCAGATCTCTAACTCAATTTTAACATGGTTTTTAAGGCACCTGAATATGGCGATTTTGGGTTTTTTACCGAATTTCGTATAACAGTGCTGGCGAGTATTTTATGCAAATTTCTTAAAAATCTCAACATAACTATTTTTTATTCCTGTCATCTTTGACATCAAATTAGAATGTTTTGAACTAAAAATAAATCTGCTGAACGACTTCCGATGAGTCTTAATGCCTGAAAAACTCCTGCCGGAGGCGGCGGCCTTCGGCCGCCGCCTCCGGCCGGAGTGCACGCTTCGCGTGCACGAAAGAGGCTTGTAACGTGTACCTACCAAAGGGGGTATAATAGTAAAGGGGGTATAATAGTAACGGGGGTACATAGTATACCCACAATAAATGCACCGGTCGTGCTTGCCAGCACTGTGATAAACAAAATAAAACGCAACAAAGTACTTACAGACAAAAATTTGGATCAAGAAATAAATATCGAGAACTGCACAATGGTAACCGACGGAGAAACCAACCAATACAAATGACAAATTTGAACGCTAAAAGAATGAGTTTTCATCATAATATTCATTATTTGCTTAATGGTATTCATGATACTCATACTCTCATAGATCATATCAAAATTCAGCGTACCTTATCGCAACCTAAATTTTGCCGGCCCTTATTTGAAAAATAATAATAATTCAACATTATTTGAAAAAAATGCTCTCACTCATACTGCTCATATACTGCTCTAATAATTAGGACCAATCCTACAGCGTACAAATCAGCCTAACATATTGGCAATTGACACGAAACAAAAATAATAATATCGAATATCTTAATAATTATAAGGATCACAAAGCATAAACACCCTCAAAAGTTAAGTAATGATCGTTTTTAAAAGCTTCGGTAAGCTAAAATTTCACGCAAAATTGTTTACGCGCCAATAATTCCGACACCCTGCTGTGCAACAAAAAATAAGCATGCCTGATGCCACGTACATCGGTATCCGAATGTAAGAAATTATTATCGGAATATATAATAAATAATAATAATTTTTTACCGGTATTAGTTCAAGTTGTACGTACGTGTAGATTTATCAGATCTTTAGGATGTTTATTGTTAACTACTTCAGATTTGTGTTAAGTTCGATAATAATGTAATAAAGTCGAACATTT